CAGCGAATTTTCAGTACAATACAGAAAGGATCCACACATTCTCTACAACTTTACAGTGTCAAGGGGCAGTGTTTTCTGTGAGCATCTAACCAAAAATAAAGATGCTGAAGCTTACAAAAATGATAAATATGACAATTTCTTCAAGTCGAAAGCAGCTTAATCCAGTGTTTGCAGGATACCACACAGCACAGAGGCTCATGGGCTGCCATCTACTTAAGTAAACCTGATTTATATACACAAATTAAGCTCTAATCACATGTACTGCAATCTGAACTGAAAAGATACATATAATTCATGTCTGTTTTTCAAGCAAAGGAAGCCCATGAAGTTTCAAACAGGTACCTTTAATCTCATAACAACCCTTTGGGGAATTCACTGTGTAGTTAAATGCAGTTACTCATCTGTGACATTAAAAACAACCTACTGCAAGAAAAAGCAGAAATTCCAAGTCACAAGATTTTAGTTTTCCAGACTTACTGGGAAAGGGAACATTCATGTCTGCATGCAACATTTCAATGAGCTGTGCAGTCTTAGATCCAGGAGCAGCACACATATCTAGAATCTACAAACAAGAAAATTTTTAAAATTCATGCCTTACACTTTTTCAGTACTTGAAAAATTTATTATGTTCCTGTTTAAATTAGGTATTTTTGAATATGTAGAATTATGACTATTCTGAACACCAATTTGAAAAGAAAAAAGTACAGTCCTGTTCTTTATATGATTTACCGTCAAAGGTTGAAAATATAAAAACTACTTTAGTTTGAAGGGAACAAAAACATCAGCTGAAAAAAGATTTGAAACAGGAACCCAAATACAGATTTGGGGATATGATCTTTTCATCAGTTCAAAAAAATTCCAGCTGAAGTTATCTGCAACTTTACATATATACACATATACTGAAGACAAAGTTACATTCAAAAGCAAATAGTACTTTTCTTCAAACTATTAATAAATTAATCAGAGACAGTATTGCTGTCCCTCTCTACACACTGACATTTCAATGTACAAAATCAGGGCAGTATAGGTCTCCTGCTTCTTTATCTTGGAAAAAGCACTTGGGAAGTGTTTGAACTGCCCCGAGGCAGCTGAACATAACAGCAGAGACACCAACACCTGAATTCTCCCTCCTAATGAACGTGATGGAGTGTGATGGAGTCATTGGTAGAGTCACTTTCACATCAGAACAACTGACATCTCAATCTGTTCCCTTAAGCAAGAAAATTTAGAGTCTTTCCTCTTGCCTAGTTACAGACCTTCAGAAACCTGTCTATCTCCTGGACCTTTGGCTCCAGTAAAAATCAGCTGCCTCAATCTGTTCTCTTAAGCAAGAAAATTTAGTCTTTCCTCTTGCCTAGTTACAGATCTTCAGAAACCTGTCTATCTCCTGGACCTTTGGCTCCAGTAAAAATCAGCTGAGAACGTGCAACAAGATAAAGGATGGGAACGATCTGCTCAGATCCTCATGCAAGCCCCCGCAAAACCAAGACTAAACCTGGAGACAGCTCCCAGAGAAACACAGAGAGCTCCAGGGAAAGTGTGCTAAGTGCTGCCATGCAGCAGTGCTAACACATCATGGAACACACACTGCCAAGACAGTATCAGATCTGCTGTTTAAATTAGGAGATGTCATGCTACTGTTTTCTCCTTCTGCAGATAATGCAAAAGATGATGAAGAATATACAAGGCTAAACACATGCTAAAACTGTCCAGCTAACTGATGGTGGGGGAAAACTAAATGGGAAAAAAAAGATTAAAAATGAACACAGCTATGGGAACATTTGACAATCATCAATTTTATCCTTTTTATCATTATCCTTGCAGAAAATGGAATCAGCATGTTAGATGTAATACATACAGAACATGCTGGTTAAGCAAAAGTAACCTGCAATTCTGGTCTTAACAAGCAGCTCCTAAGTAAGGCACTAAGGACCATGAAAGGCCCTAAATGACAAGTCAGGGCATCATTATGTCATTAAACATTTGCGGGTTTGGCACAAGAGAGGAAAAAGAACCTATTCTTAGTCTGATTATGAAATCATACACACATTTCTGGAAAATGCTGCAATACTCACCCAAATTAAACATTCAGTGTAAAGCCTATATACTGCTAGCTTATCATATACAATGTAAGGTGTGTGCAAAAATATCCCCACAATTTGTGTTTTACATTAAGATGAATGTGTTCACCACCTGTTCAATTCCAGACAGAAATCAAAATACACCTGTGACAAATCAGGACTGAGACTTTCAATTTACTATTCACTTAAAAGAGATGAGAAGACCTTGCTTCATATAAAACAGCCATAGCTGTCATACACTGGGTTGGGGTGAAAGTAGGAGAAAAAAAGGTGGAAAGTTATGGATGCTAAGTACTGTTAATATAAAAACAACTGTGTACAAACTAGTCTTTAAAATACATGTTAGAAGTTTGATAAACATAAAAATTTAAGATACAGCATGAAAATTTAAGAACGAAGAACACAACATGGCTGCTTGAGATAGCAAGACAACTAGCTCATTAATTTAACAGATTAAAAGAGTAAGGCCACCTGACAGATTCAGTCTGCAAACAAGCACAGAGTATAAAAACATCACAAAGTTAAAACAGAAAGTTTGCTACCAGATATCCTCATTCCTATGGCATGCCCTAAGAAAATACCATAGGCATTCCTTACACACTTCAGTTAAAGTTAGCACCCTATAGTGTTTAGCCACCACCAAGAGCATGTTTCAGCTCACCCAAAATATTTCATCTAACAGATTATTTATAGAGTAGAATTTTTCAGCTCCTACAAAAGGCATAGAGGAGTGAAATCTATGAGGTAGGGAATATTATCACCTGCATCTTAAAAACTACATCTGTTCACAGTGTGATGAACAGAGGAAGTTAAAAACAGTTACTTTACTTTAAAAGCAGGTTGTAACAAGAATACATAACTGAGATGCAGCTAAACACATTTACACTTTGAAAATAAGACTATGCAACTGCCTGAAATCAAAGTGTTTCTTGTGGGTATTATAAACAGCTGAAAAAGCAGATGTTCCTCTGGTAGTGTTTTTGTGATCTCAACATTAGCTGGGTGTTGTTGATGTGCAGAAAGCATAAAATGAACCAACACAAAACAGAACTGAGTATCAGCCCTGATACTGCTCTTGTGATTTATAGCTCAATTAAGCTGATTTCAGGGAACAAACTTTAGCACACGTTGTATTCTAGACTTACCTTATGATGAGGGCTAACATTAAGCAGCAGAGGTGGGATCATACTAACAGCCTCCTGACGACTGATGTTTCCCTTGAAAGGAAAAAAGAAATTAAATTTATTTTTATTCCATGAAAGAATGCATTTCTTTTGCAATAAAACTTTTACATTGCTATGTAATAAAATAAGAAAGCAGTCAAAAACACACTACTATAAACTTAGGACTAAATTCTGTTAGAATTTAACAAAAAAATCACAGTATTTCACCCAACTGTAATTTCTAGTAATTGTGTATTTACTCCAATTGTATTAATTCTGCAGTTTCCACTCAAAAGAGAAGAGAAACTGGCTCCAACCAAGTGACAAACATCCATCACTTAAGTGTTAAGTGTTGTCATGCCCATGCTGCACTTTTTACCAGGTTTAAACATTCGGTTTCTAACAGCAACGGATTATTTTACAGGGACTCATTTTAACATCCCCAACAACAACAAAAAAATGCAATTAGTTCAGGCAAGTATTTGTAGCTGCAGTTATGCACCAGAATAATTGGATGCATCACTGTTAACTGCACCACAAAATCCAGATTCTTCTGGGCTACTCAACTTCTGAGAGAAAAGGTAGAGTCTCCATCTTTCACAATGTATTTCAATAAAGCATTGCTCAGGATATGCCAGAAAAAAATCAATATCTATCCAAAACTTACACATTCTGTCTCGCTAACCAGAAACTGATGAAACTTTTCCAGTTGTGGGGACTTGCGTAAGATTTTTCTACTCAAATTAGTGTGCCAGGCTAACTCTTCAGGATACCTGGTGGAAAAGAGATGGGAAAAGAACAGAGGCAGAAGAAAGACACCGATGAGCCAGGCTGGTTGCCGGGAACATGCAGAATGCCTAATCTCGCCTCCAAATCACTCACCAGCTCAGCGACTGCGGCATCTCGACTTTTTGGCCGTCCACCTCCAGGTCCTGCAGCTCTCGGAAGTACTTTTCCTTCAAGCAGTGGAGAATCTCTCTGGCGTGGCTGCATGCGAGAGACACCCGGAGGGACACCGGATGGAGAATCACAGAGTGGTTCGGGTTGGAAGGAGCCCTAAGGACGGCGCAGTTCCACCCCCGTGCCGTGGCTGGGACACCTCCCCCCGCTCCAGGCGGCTCTGGCAGCGCTGTCCGGAGCCCCCGGCCCGTACCTGCGGTAGCCGGTGATGCGCAGCGTGGCGGGCAGCGGCTCCCGCAGCGCCGCCATGAACGCGTCCCACTCTCCGGCGGGCACGATGCCCAGCTCCCGGTAGTACCGCTCGAACAGCTCATTCTCCTTCACGATCTCGGGGTAGCCGCCGGCCCAGCCCTGAAGAAAAGCACCGCCGCCGTCAGAACGGCGGCCCCGGCGCTCCCCGCCCCGCTTCACCTCCCCCGGCCCGGCTCTCACCGCCTGGTCCCCGCCGCCGCCCCGCTCCTGCCGCTGTTGCTGCTGCCGCCGGCGGTCCCGCGCCCTGCGGCCCATGGCAGCCAGGCGGCGGCCGAGCCGCGCCACCAGCTCCGCCGTGAGGAAGAGCGGCCGCTCCCGCTCCGCTTCGCTCCCGACCGGCCGGAGTGACCGCGCGGCTGCCGCGTGCTCCCGGCGCGCAGGCGCGGACCCGCCTTCTCCCGGCGCCGCTTCCCAGCGGAACTTCCCGAGAGCCGGGCCCGGCCCGGCCCAGCCCCGCCCCACCCACCCACAACGGGCGGGGCGGCGGCGGGCACGCCCCCGGCGGCCACTGGCGGTGCCAGATGAACCGAGGCGGCGGAGCGCGATGGGGTTTGCCGGCGATGGCGGCGTGTGCGCGCTGTGGCGCCGGGCCGAGGGCCCCGAGGAGCGGCGGCTGATGGAGCTCTTCTCCTACGGGCTGATGGCGCTGGGCGCCGCCTCCGCCCTGCTGCTCTGCTTCATCCCCATGCCCTACGGCCGGTACTCCTCGCGGCGCTTCGGCTGGCTGCTGCCCGCCCGCCCCGCCTGGGCGCTGCAGGAGCTGCCCTCCCTCCTCGTCCCGCTCGGGCTCGCCGCCTGTGGCGGGGCGGTCGCGGCCGCCCGGCCCAACCGCGTGCTGCTGGGCTGCTTCCTCCTGCACTACGCGCACAGGTGCGGGCTCGGGTGGGCGGCGCTGCCCGCGGGCACCGGCGGGGCCGGGGCGGATGGCGGGGACTTGTGCCGTGCTGGGGGCAGGAGAAGGGATCGGTCTTCACAGAGATACCTGCTTGCTGCTTCCCGACCGCAGGGGTTGAGGTTCTGTTAATTAGCGTTTGTCACTGACGTCTCTTCTGCTTCGCTGCAGAAGATGTGCCCTGTGTTGTTACGGTAGCCGGGTGAGTGGCCGTGGCGATGCGGTGCAGGCTGCCTTGTGATGCTCCGGCGTGCAAATGGAGCGCCGGGCGCTCCCGCAGCGCGCCGCTCCATCCCTGTGCTCCTGCTGCTGCTGCTGCTGTGACTCCCCGCTTCAGCAGTGGATTGACCAGACCGTCTTAAGGTCACTGTGTTACAAGAAGGAAAGTTCAGCACCGTGTACTGATATAATCTTGATGTTGCTAAACAATTGCTGTTTTCTAATTATATTGTTCAACATTGTCTTTCAACATAGCGTTCGTTGCAGGAGTTGGACTGGATGAGCCTTGTGTGTTTCCTCCAGCTCAGCATATTTAATGATTCATTAAAATACTGACAAAGCTGAGGCTGAGTGCCTTATGTTGCCAGGTAGTCAAGAGTATTCAGGCATTTTGTAAAAATACTTGGAGAGGGCAGCTTAGTTGGAGCCCAGGGGCGATCTTGCTGTTCTCTTCAAGTTATGGACAGTAGCTACTTGTCATACTCCACAAGTACATTTGCCACCAAGACAGGAGGGTTAGATTTGTCAGGTTTGTTTTAAGCCTCTTGTGTGGCTGATGTGTTATTTTCTGGTACATATTGAGAAAAGCTCTTGCTTTTGATCAAAAGTATTCGACAGCCTTGCAGTGGGAAGGTATACGACATATGGTTTGCCTGGAGGCTGCCTTTGAAAACCTACAGTTGTGTCTTTGCTCTCCCTTTTTCGATTCTTAGGCGTAAATACATAAGTTTTTACGTAGGATCTTAACTCATCCTTGATGTCTGGGAATAACTGGGAATGTGAGGGAATGATTTGTACAAAAAGATGAGCTATGCTGCAGTTTCTTTTTTTCCAGTTGCTTATTGCTATTGCCAAACCCAAGGGACTCTTCTGTAGGTAAATGTAGACTGGAAGGGACCTCTGTTATCTAGCTCTGTTTGTTGTAGCATTGCATGCTTTAAATAATCCTGTAACAAAATTATTACTCTTTTTTGAAAGCTGTTAGGGTTGTACTTCCTTTGGAAAGGTTATTTTGAAGTAGTGGTCCTTGGGTAGGTGGAAAACACGTGAAGAATGCTCAGGCTTCAGTGATCCTGCTTCTGTATTATAGATCATAATTAAATCAATAGACAATTGGGAGTTGGCTAGTTCCACAAGAAAGAGCACAGGAGTATTCACCTGCTCTTCTTGTTTGGAGGTAGTTTGTTTACTTGCATAATCCCCCAGGAAAAGCAATCAAGATTCCTTTCCCAAATGGGATGGCAATTGTGGGTTTGTCAAGTCTTTAGAGGTGTCATAGAGTAGACCAAAACTGTCAAGGTGAAGCAATTAATGTTTTGGCTTACAGGGTAGGGAGGAAACTGAGGTCAGTTAAGTTAATTTAAAGGGGATTGACTTTCCCCCTGAAAATGCTGGGGGAATTTAGTGGAGGGGTCTTGTTTCCTAGCTCATCTCAGAAAGCTTGATACAACTGAGGGTTTAGGAACAAAAATGGACTGTGCTTAATATCAGTTGTCTTTATTCCTCTCATCTAAGTAATTGCTTTGGATGCAAAGTTCAAAATTTCTGCCATACGGTAGAGAAGACTGGTCTTGTAATTCCAACTAGGCAAAAAAAAAAAAAAAAAAAAAAAGAATGTTTTAGATGTTAAAGCAAGTGCAGCTATCCTTTCAAACAGACACCAAGGGCTGGTGCTGAGAATTTGTAAAGTAGGGTAGCGTGGACAGTGTTTGGACTTCAAAACTATCTTTTTTTTGTGGTTAATACAATAAATTTTCTTTTCTTTGTTCACTACAGGGCACTCATCTTTCCTCTTCTGATCCGTGAAGGAAAACCAACGCCGTTTTTCACTTTTGCGTTAGCGCTTCTGTTCTGTGTTTTCAATGGGTACTTGCAGGGCCGAAGCTTAACCACCTATGCAACCTACCCTCCAGGCTGGCTGGGCGACTCACGCTTCATTACAGGTGAGTTAAATCATGCTATGAGAACACCAGGTGTAATTTTCCTCTGCCTTCATAGCTCTTAATTTTTTATTGTGATTTTATAGTATCTTCAATGCCGTTTTATAAGTCTTCTCATAATTTTCTCATTGGTGTAGCTGGAGGCCTTTTAACCTTTTTTTAACCTGTGAACTGACTCTTCTTTCTGCAGTGCTAGATGATCTGATTGTCATCTTTACTCTCTAACAGCCAAGTGAATCCAGGTCATGTATTTTTTTTTCTTGTAGAAGCTTGAAACCCTACCTGGAACCAGCTGCATGCAGGTTTAGAAGAAGCCAAGCTTTTTTGTCTAACATGTAGATTAAACTGAAGTAACGAATTCATGGAGTAAAAAATCTAGCAAGGATAGCTGCTAACCACTGACATACCATGGCAAATGCTTCAAGTCCTTGGTGTCAGGATATCTACACTGGATACACACACAGTGCCAATCCAGCTGCCCTTGTAATTGGGGGGTGACTTTGTCAAATGACAAACTGGCCACACAAGGAAGGGGTGGAGGGGTTGATCATTCACTCCCAATTGGGAAGTGAGGTTACAATTATACTTGAAGCCAGGGATATGATTAAAAAACTAAGGTGTTTAGCGACAAAGTATTTTATTTACTCAATTTTTTTGTTTCCTAGACATCTACTTTTGCCTACTGTCAAAATGATAGTATCATTTCCCAATGAAGTCTTTTAAGAAAGATAATTTTCATCAAAGATAAACCACAATATTTTGCCTCATCAGTCAAAGACAGAGTAGTGGACTGTGTAGATCCTTGATCTGAGTCAGTACCCTTCTTTTTGTTATTCTGTGGCCAGAGCAAGTTAGTGTTTCTCCTTTATTTCTCAAGCCTTTTACAACAAAAAAAAAAAGGCAATTTTTTTGTCTTTATTCTAGTGTTATTTTGGATGACAGTAGAGGACAACTGTGCTGCATGTTGTCATGAATATCAGGTTGATGAAATTTCAATATAGGTAGATTCTCTTGCCAAGATTAGGAGGCAGTTCTGTTTGTCTGCTAAAAATCGAGAAACTGAGGTACAAGGGAATGACTTCAGAGGACACTAGAATATATTTGAAATTTTCTTGGTCATTTAAAATTTCCATTTTCCTTAAACCAGGATCCAGAAAAAAAAAATTAAAAGACTATTGAAGACTGAATCCAGGCAGGCTTTTTTTTTCAGTACCTTAGTTGAAAGATATCTCAATACAGGGCTGTGAATGAATCATGATTAAGGAGCCATAAATCAGTTCCTCCTTACTCAAATATCTTTAAAAAAAATCAAGTTAATAACACTTGTTGCTCAAGTTTCCTTGGGTTCTTTTGGGTGGGTTTTTTTTTTGTTGTTGTTTCTTTTGTTTTTGTTTTTGTTTTGGTTTTTTTTTTTAATTTTCAAGGATTTCTGAAAGATTCAAATGTATAAATGACAATTCATCTGCCTTCAATTATGAATACTTCTGTGCATGGATTAGTTTGGTTTGTGTTTGTGGTTTTGTTTGTTTGCTTTTTTTCCAAATAATACCAGTTTGAAATACATGCTTATTTATATTTCTAGTACCACTAAACATAAGTGAAGTGTTGCTCTGGTGACTATTGTTAGTCAATATAGTGTATAAAAAGTTATCCTGAAAATTAAGGAGGTGAAGATTCCTGGTGTACATATCAACCACTTTAACAGTGTGACCACTGCTGATTTTTTAAGATTGTAATTCCAACAAATCTTGAGATAAAATTTGGCATGCCCATTAAACAGCTAAACGGAAGACTTTATTTTTCTTTTTTTTTATTCCTGTAATTAGAATATCTTTTGGAATTTTTTTTTTTGTTTTGTAGTTCATACCAACATAATTGGATCTTAGCAATTTATAATTGCTATTTGGTGTTCATCCCAGCTGGGAACCTCCAAATACCTGCAGTTTATGCTTATGGCTTTGGTCAAAGCAAATGCCAAAATGAACCATTGTACAGTCAGTACTCCCTGAACAACTGGACTGTTATGTTCTAGTACTTAAAAAATATCTGACAGTGTCTTTAAGTTTCTGTTTAAAATTACTAAAAAAATTACTAGAATATTAGAAAATAACTATAGCAAGAAAGCATATTTCCTGGTAATTAATAGGATATTTCTTAAGCTGTATGAAGTTAAATGTGGAAGATAAATTAATGTCTACAAGTAGCAGCCAACCAAGGTTCAAAATCTGGAAGCTGAAATGAGAAATTTCCAGTGAGTACAGAAGTTTGGAGAAGTCAGGCTGATTAACTGTCATGGTGAGAAGTTTCAAACAAGTGGAACCTGTGAATCCTTATTGTATGGTTTGTCTGTTTTGGGGAACACAATAACTTATGTCTACAGCAGCAACTTATTTGGAGCAGGAATGTTGTTTTAATGTAATTTTCTCATGGTTTCTCTGGACTGTGTGTTGGTTTAGTTCAGAGCAGTGAACTTACGTGTTTTCAGAGGAAACAGGAATGTTCTGCTTCAAATGCAGAACCATGAGCTTGCAAACAAAGTCATAATCTTTCAGCATGAACCTTACACCTGTATGCCAATAAAGATCTTGTGAACTTACCAAGAAAGCTGGCGATACCCTGAAGTGGTGACTGCAACAAGCAGGACACCAACACCTCTGTGCCTCACTCTTGTGTCCTTTCTTAATCTATCTGCACTTTTAGATGGAAACTTTCTTCCTTTGCTTGCTTTAGCTTCTTCAAAACCTTTGCAGTATGCCTTGTCTTTTCTTGCTCCTTTAAGTCCCTACTCAACTGCTTCCTTCGAATGTTGATGGCTAACTGTTTTGTGCATCAAAACACTTCTTTAGTAGCAGCTCTGCAAAGCAGAACAGCAACTGTAACTCACAAGGTGCAGGTTACAGAACATCAGCACCTCAACTGTTGCATGAAGCTTTTTATCTGGCAACCAGGTAATTAAGCACACGTGTCACCTCTGCTCTCTTCACACATCAAACCTGGAGAGCGTGTATGCACTGTCCAAAGCTGGATATAATCTTGTAGGCAAGGGATGTGGTGGGTTACCAGTGTCTCTCCTAATAATGATAGGTATCTGGATGCTGCAGATTATTGTGTCTTGTTGGAAAAACTAATCACAGCATCTGAGATGAGGCACTGGTTAACCTCAAAACACAGACCTTATCTGTTCTTTATCAGCAGGGAATGGTGCCTCCAAGGGAAAATAACATAGGTAACATGTTGCCAAGGGATAAAAATACTGAATTTTAATCCTAAATTCCTTTTGATTTATCCCACCCTTATGGCAACATAAGCATGCAGAATGTGACAACAATCTCAGTTTCTGTGAAAGGCTGTAATAAATGGCTAAACCATTTTGCTAAATGGCACGAGTTAATGGTACGTTAACTCCTTCACAGTTGTATTCCTTTTATTGCACAGAAGTCTGTTGGGTAGATTCTGATATGCTATCAGTAAAATAGTCAAAGGAGAGTGGAGCTAAGATTGTCCCTCTGGGAAGATTAAAAATGGCTGTTGCTTTCAGTGTGTAAAACTTTAGCGTATTTGTTTTTCTATGTTGAAGTTAGGGAAACATACACATTACATCTGCATCTATGCACATACATACATTTATGTAAGTCTACCAACATAAGAACTATGTTCATTTTTACAGTGCTATTTCCCAGCTAGGGAGGTGTTGATACTGTGAGCTCTGCTGATTGAAGAGCACAGTGTGGGACTGGGACTGTGCAGGATGTCACCAGAACTGTTTATGCTGCTTACATTACTACTGCTTTGAGACAATATGCCTAATATAATACCAGACTGTAGTTTGTTTTCTGAACAAACACAATGCCCTAAATATAGTATTTTCAATATTTCTCTTCAGGTTTTTTAGGATGGTTGATTGGTATGGCCATCAATATTCATTCTGATCATATTCTCAGAAATCTGAGAAAACCAGGGGAAACTGGTTACAAGATACCAAGAGGTAAGTAAAATGGTACAGAAATTAATACAACAAAAGGAAGTATCTCTCATATAAGAAGAGGTGGAGAGAGCTTGGACTCTTTAGACTGGAAAAAGAGAAGGCTCAGGGAGATCTTACCAAAGTTTATATATTATGAAGAAGAGAGAACCAGGCTCTCCTTAGTGGTGAGACGGGACCAGAGGCAGTGGGCACAAAATTCAAGCACATGAAATTATATCTGATATTTTTTTTTTTTTTTTTTTTTTTTTTTTTTTTTTGGCTGGGAGGATGGTCAAACACACAGGTGTGGAGCAGGTTGCTCAGAGATTGGAGGGAGACTCAAAACCAGACTGGGCATAGTCCTGAACAACCTGTTCTGGCTGACCCTGCTTCAACGGTGGAGGTTGAACATGATTATCTCAAGAGATCCCTTCCAGTCTAAAATGATTCTGTGTGAAAGTGGCCTTCTAAAGCTTGGTGTATTTTAGAGTAGATAGCAATTTATTATATGAGAGGCAACTGGAAATAGCATTTTGTTTTCTACCACAGGAAGTGATTTTATAGTTTGGAAAACATTTTTTTTCCTCTTAAGCCAAGTATTGTAAGGAATCTGTTTCATTATATCACTTGGCTTGTGCAAATCTTTGGGTTTCTTGACCAACATTGGCTATATTTTTTAAAAGGGGTAAAAATGTAACAGCATTGCCCAACTTTCAGAGAATCAGCAGGTGGGTGGAAAAGAAAGACCTAAATTATTCACTTAGTGTGGGGGCAGCAGGGGAATGAAGAAAGCACTCAGCATGTGACCCATCTCATGTCCGATATAAGAGGGAGGTTCCTAAAGTAATTGGAGAACAACAATTTTGAAAAGGGAGACACAGGGAAAAGAGGACAGAAGTCCAAATGAATTTGGCATTGGAAGTTCTGGCCTTCATGGAAAAATGGAGACTATGAAAGGCTTTCTTATGGAGCCTATACTGAAATGTTAAGGTTTATTATCACTTTTGGGAACAGGCACTCTTCTGGGTACATTTTGCACTCACTGAGAGCAGAAAGATAATACTACCTCTGAATTCTGTTATCTTGCTACATTTTTTTTTTAGTTGTTGCTTTTTCTTGGTTGTTAATTTTTGTAATAAAACTGTAGTAACTAAGATATATAAGGTATGTTATTTTTCACTAAGAAGGTGAAAATAATTGTAATTTTACTAGATGTAAATTGATGTGCTCATGTGAAAAGTTAATATGAACATACTATAGTGTGTTGAGTGTAGAAAAAGGTTCTGAAGGAAATGTTATTTGCTGTAAGATCAGGAGGAACTGGTCTTTTTGATGTTGTTTATCCAGTTTAAGTCAGAATGTCACTTTTCTTTTATCACAAAAGTAGTGTAATTAGAGCAACGTCAAAACATGTCCTTTATTACATTTGCCAAATACTTGTTTGTTTAGTCCCACTGGTAAAGCAAATACTGAGATGTTATCCATTTGTGCACCGACTTTGGAAATAGGGTGAAATTCTTAATTTATAAAATTCCCAGAAGCTGAGTACTAATTGTTTATGCACAATTGTCTACAATAGAGTTAACACAGATTGCCAAATTTTCACTGAGTGTAGAGGCTGAAACAGCAGATCTGATGAGGAATGGGAACAAAAATTCAATAACTTTGTAAGCTAGAGAATAAATTTGGAACTTTATTTCATAATAATAGTATAGTTCATAATTAACTTTTTTTCTAAAGTACTTAAAGAAATAATAATTTGTAGGATAACTAACCCTGTGAGTATTTTCTGGGACTCAAGAGGAGTATGTCTTCTATTTCTACGTATTTTTAAAAAGTTTTAGTGTATGATCAAAGAACATGTCATTAAGTAATTATTCACAAAGGCATGTACTTGCTTCTGATGCTAGTAAATCTGCTTTTCTTTATTTAAAGAGGAAAAGAGGACCTACAAAAGGTCTGTTGTAGAATGAGGTCTGAAGTGTACATAGTTCTTCATAGTACAGCTTGAACTGAAAAACAGTCTCCACTGCCTTTAAAGATCAAATAGACACTGGTGATATAGCTCCTTGGTGTACAGGAAAGGTAACATTGAACATCTTTACTATGGTATTTTGAAGTAACTCTGTCCTGCTTTCAGGAGGAATGTTTGAATATGTCAGTGGAGCCAACTTTTTTGGAGAGATCCTGGAATGGTTTGGGTTTGCCCTCGCCTGCTGCACCATTGAAAGCTTTGCATTTGCGTTGTGTACTCTCTTCATCCTGGGTTCAAGGGCAAGACAACACCACAAGTAAGTGTTCCTGCCTTGTCAGTTCTGTTGTCTCTATACCACGCTGCATTTCCATTTCACAAATTATGCCTCATCCTACAGGGATGTTGCAGAGCAAGTCTTGTGAAAGAGACTGCTCCTGTAGGGCAGAATATGATAGAGAATACTCTGAGAAGATTAAGTACTGCAGAATTTCAGCAGAAAGTACAGAGGATAAACACAGTACAAGAAGGTGGTCAAATTAATGTTTAAATGAAGATAGTTCATCCTGGATCTCTAAAGATTACAGACAATTTTAGCAATATTGTCGTAATTAATCAAATACTATAGTTTCTCTTCTCAAACATTTCTCTAATATATAAACTTCTGAAAATCACTCAAGTGGTCTTTAACAGGCACACTTTATGGTCATGTCTGTATCATATTGTCTATAATCAATTGTATGGATATTATGAAAACAGTTCTGATAGATGATATTTAATGAAGTCTCTGGTCTGTTTCTGTTCTGTTCTGACTGTTCACGTACTGTATTTATAGTGTGCTAACAAGAAGGACCTCCTGCTGACAAGAAGAACCATAGTTTGGGGAGACTTGTTTCCTGAAAGGATTCTCATTAAAGAATAGCATGCTTAAGAGAATTTGAGCATGTTAATTTTATTTTGGTTATTTTCAGCTTCCTCCTTTGGTTCTCATGTTGAAACTTAGTGGCATAAGAGGAAATAAACATGAATTTAAGGAGGAAACAGGTTGAAAAACTCTACTGATCATCTGTGCAGGCAGCTATGTCTATGTCTAATGGAGTCCTAAAAACCTCCAGAAAGAGGTTTTCCTGTCCCTTGTTTGTAGGATGTTCTGGGTCTGTAATACCCTCCCAGTGAACAAGTTTCTTCCACTATCCAACCTGAGCCTTCCAAACCTGTTGCCTTTGACTGTCTCTTCCTGTTTCATCACCTGCTATTAGTGACCAGAATTGCAGAGTATCTTGAGTTGGAAGGAGCATTTGAAGGTTGTCCAGTCAGCTGGTGTGTGGCAAACCACAAGGCTCTGCCCAGTTGTCCAGGCCTCATCCAATTGAATTCTGTGTCTCCTCCTTGCAAGATGAAGCAAGGACAGGTTCTCCTGCCTCTCCTTATATATTACCTTCTCCAGGCTCAAATTCCATGGTTGGTTTCCATCAATCTTAAGCCTTGATAGCACTCTTTCAGAACATCAAGAAAAGCTAAATGTTGTTGAAGGAAGTTTTTTACACTACAGGAAAAATGTATGAAAATGGAATAGGGGACAGGAAAAAATCCCCAAGCAACTAAAAATAGCAAATCCATGTAAGTGAAGAAACATGTTGGTGTAGTTTGTTTAAAAAAAAAAACTTAGAATAAATTACTGAAATGGGTAAATAGTGTAATAATTGTATTCCCTAGATGCAGGTTATCGTGCATTGCATGTTTTGTTCTGTTTATTCGAGCTTTGATCTTGCAGTTAGCTATTGATATTATGAATATCTGCACTTTCAAGGAGCCCAGGTGAACTTAGTTCTTTCATAAAAGCAGAATAAATATTCAAAAATGGGAGTGAGCATGCTTGTTATGAAAGGTGAAAACACAAATAATATCTGATAGTGCTCTGCATTTATTTAATTGTCTGGATTTGAAGACAGTGATGGCTTTTGAAGGTGTTAGCAATAAGGCAAGTGCAATGTTCATAATGTTGTTTGATTACCCAAATTCTAACTGCAGCCAAAGACACTTCCATGCAGAATGGGACTCTCATTCCAGTGTGTGAAGTATCTCTTGCTTCCACATGAAGTTATTATGCAATAACATGCTTTTGATTTTATTTTTTCTCCCTCTAATTTTAAAATGTTTAAATATTCAGTATGTGTAACACCATATGTTTTGAAAGAATGGGTTATTCCTTCCCTGACATATCTCACCACATCTGTTGATTTGATTTCCCATTGCTGGCACCTGTAACTTAGTTTTGTTATAGTTGGTGATTAGATGTCATTAGGATGAGTGCAGTAAATGCCATTTTTCTATCCACAGTAGGTTATAAAGTTTTTTGGGTTTTTTTTTTTTTGTAGACAAAAACATGTGTGGATTAAATTAAACACATTGCACAATTATTTCATTTCCTCAGCAGTGTTTTGAAGACTCAATACTCATCAGATTTTTCTTTGTTTTTCAGATGGTACCTTGAGAAATTTGAAGACTATCCAAAGGACAGAAAAATTGTCATCCCATTTTTGTACTGAGCTGTGCTTTTAACACTTTGAGATGGATGCTTTTAGTAACAGCCAGCATTTTACAGATGCTGGCAGGTTAGCAACACACTGGGATCATCACTGTGACAAAGCCTTTCTGTCAGTGCTGCTATTACTTACTGCTTTTTCCTCTTAATGGTAAACCAGAAATCTGATGGACAGGGTGAATAGGAACAGAAATGCTTTTCCAGCAGTGAAGCACCTTCATAAATACATTAGGCAATGAGTCTGAATTGGCATCATGGGAAGTACTGTGCACGACTTCTGATGCTTCTTTTTCTGTCTGTGAGGGCTTCTGCTGTTTCCACTCAATATAGCCAAGCTGTCCTGAGGATTGTGCTGTGGGCTCAGCCACCCTCACTGCAGTCTGGGTGGTGTGTTTTGCCTACATACACAAATAGGGTTGATTTTATTTTTTTTCCTTGCCTTACTAAGCCTTTAAATTCCCCTCACCTGCATTTCCAGAAGAGCTGGTGATGTAGACCAAGGAATTAGATGAATGCAGTTGCTTTTAGATGAGAGGCAGTGTTTTTCCTTCTCTTTGCACTCTTACAAATACAGGGACACTGTACAGACAATATCTAATGGTATTTACATAAAAGTTGTACTGCTAATAGATTAATATTGTCATCTACCTCTTAAAATTGATAGCTATCTCAATATGCAATATGTGTTTTCTCACTCTAAACTGGTTTTGGAAGTCTACTTAGGATACTTAGGCCAATCTAGCATTGTTAACAATTGTGTAATATTTTTTAACTTAATTTATAAAAAAAAAAAGCTTGATATTTAAAAATCTTTTCTTGCTATACTTTTTTAAAAAAATCAAGTGTCTTCCTTCTTCTGTTGCTAACATTCTAGATGAATTTTTAATTCTAAAATTCTGGAGCCTTTTGTCCATTCTCATACCCCAACCTTTTGCTCACAAAGGAGTCCAGAATGGATCCAAGAACATGATGAGATCCCAAGCATACAGATTTTCAAGTTATCTGTGTCTTTTGCATGATTGTAATAATAGGGAATCTTTTAGAATTGCTGACACTAAAAAAAACAAAACCAAAACAACTCAAGGGAAAACTAAAAAAAACCCACAAACAATCCGACAAAGCCCTCAAGTGAACAACCAAATTCTAATAATAAAAAAAATTTTAAAAACAAACAAATGAACACTAACTTTAAAAAACTTTCCACAAAACCCCAAAACTCTGCTGCTAATATAATTTGAAAATAAATTGTATTCAAACTTTTGCCAAGTGTCTTCTGCTCTGTTTGCACTTCTGTGTTGGGTTATGTTCTTCAAAACAAATTAGTAACGTAATTTTGCCAGATGCTAAGTTTTCCAGTAGGGCATTGCAGTAAGATTTGTTTTGATGAGCAGTCATGATGCTTGCTGGAGAGAGAGAATGGTGAAGAGTTTGATTTACTCCTCAATGCTAAAATGGAATTATTTGACAAGAAAGTTCAATAGTTCACTTAAAGCATATTCTGAAGATAATTTTAGAATCTTAGTCTTACATATCAGAGTATTTCTAAATCCTGTCATCTCTGCAGCATTTTTTAAAATCTTCTTTTTTTAAATCATCCACATATGAAAATCTCTTTTAGTGGAAAAAAATATCAGATTCAAAAACCACTATCTACCCAAGGTGTTTAAACACTTATGTAGTTTATGGTGAATTAATATCTTTTTTTTTTTTGGGTTTGTGTGGCCAGATTTTAGTGATGGGGGCTACAGGAGTGACTTCTGTAAGAAGCTGCTAGAAGCTTCCCCCATGTCTTTTGGAGCCAGTGCCAGCTTGTCCCAGGGCCAACCTGCTCAACCTGCTCCTAACCCCATCATGAAGGACAGTCATGTCTTTGTAATAACATATTTAAGAAAGGAACAAAAAAATGTTCTTGGGCAGAGCACCATCTATGCAGACACCAAGTGGAGGAGTGGGAGGAGATGCTTCAGGTGTTGGAGCTGAGATTCCCCTGCTGGAGCTGTGCCCCTGCAGCCCATGGAAGACCATGGGGATGCAGAGATCCACCTGCAGCCTGTGGAGGATCCTCATGCCAGAGCAAGTGGCTGCCTGAGACAAGGCTGTGAATCCATGGGAAGCCTGTGCTGGAGCAGGGTTGTGACAGGAATGTTTGGATAGAGGAGCCCATGCTGGGGCAGGTTTCATGGTGGGGTTTGTGACCCTGTGGGGACCCCTATTGGAGCAGCCTGTGCCTGAACAGCTGCACCCTTAGGAAGAGCAATCCACGTTGGAGCAGTTCATGGAGAGTTGTTGCCCATGGGATGGACTTAGACTGGAGGAGTTCATGGAGAACTGTCTCCTGTGGGAGGGACCCCATGTTGGAGGGGGAGGCCTCCTCTCCTGGAAGAGCAGGAGAAACCACAGGTGATGAACTGATCATGGCCCCCCTTCCCTGTCTCCCTGAGCCTCCCTGGGGGAGGAGGTAGACCTTGGGAAGAAGAGAAAGGTGGAGGGAAGGTGTTTTTAACATGTATTTCACTTTTCATTATCCTTCTCTGTTTTTGTTAGTAATAAATTCAGTTAATATCCCAAATTTGAATCTCTTTTGTCTGTGGCAATATTTGATGAATGATCTCTCCTGGTCATTATCTCAACCCATGAAGCTTAGGCTTTGGTTTCTTCTCCCTGTCCAGTTATGGAGAGGAGTCACAGAGTGGCTTTGGTTTAGCCAGGACCAACCCACCAAAATATATCTTCAGGGATATTTGTTTAAAAATCACTAATGGGACAATCTACCAGTAAAAAAAAATCACCCTTCTGCAGCACTTTAGACTCTGTTTTAACACTTTTTTTTTTTTACCTTTTTTGAAAAGGCAAATGCCCTTTTAATACTAAACAGTGAAAGAAAAGTCAGTGTTTATTACATCCCTATATTCAAGAGCTGTAGCTCTCTAGTCTTCTATCATAGTTTCCAGAAAATTTGAACAGATGTCTTGATTTTTCTCTGCTACTATGCTAATAAATATTTATCTTGCCTAAAAGTTCAGTTGGTTTGCCCACATAATGTTAATTTATGATTTGCCTACAGTGGGATAGGATCTGAAGTGTGATATTCTGACAGCTTATCCCTGTTCTCTTGCTTGTTACAGAAAAGGAAAAGCTAAGGTCTGTGGGCTGTGAATGTCAGCATGTTTAGAAATTTTAGTTAACTGGATTAATAAAAAAAGTCCCAAACCCAAGCCAGAAGGTTTTGTTCTTTGTGTGATTATATTTTATATCATCATTATACTTCTGGAGCCTTCCCTAAGTAAAGATGTTATTTGAGGCAATTCTTAGAGTGCAGGTCTTATGAGGAGCAGCTGAAAGAGCTAGGACTGTTTAGCCTGGAGAAAAGGGGGCCCAGGGGGAATCTTACTACTCTCTACAACTGCCTGAAAGGAGATTGTAGCCAGGGGGGAATTCATCTCTTCTTCCAAGTAACCAGTGACAGACTGAGAGGACATGGCCTTATGTTGTGCCAGGAGATGTTCAGATTGGCTATTATGAAAAATTTCTTCACTGAAAGGGTTGTCAAGCCCTGGAACAATCTGCCTGGGGGAGTGGTGGAGTCACTAGAGTCACAATCCTTGGAAGTATGCGTGTAGTTGTGGCACTGAGGGAGATGATTTAGTGGTGGACTTGGTGCTGGGTTAAAGGCTGGACTCAACACTGAGGTCTTTTCTAACGTAAACGACTTTATGATTCCCACATTTCAAGACCCAGGTACATTGGTGAAAGCATATTATCAACTTGGTCAAATGCTAGAATTGTTTTTTGTTTAAACAATATCCCACTTATTTGTCATCACTTGAGATCCCTTTCCTTTTCTGCAGCTCTGACCGATTTTTCTGTTGGAAAATATCTAATACTGAAACCTTTTTCTCAAGAACATGTAATGTGAAAATGAACTCTGTTCTATGCATTTCAGAGGGAGAAAACATGCATACTTGCTACTGGGTATATCTGTAGCTATTTTTAATAGAGATGCTTCTAGATTGATACATCTTTCCCCCAAATCCCTTACTAATAAAACATGATTTGTGGTATCTTGCTTGAATAATTTTTTTTTTCTGTTAGTAATCCCCACTCTAACTTGTGGAGATTGACCAAGGCTTTTGTACCAACAATTTCATTATCCCAGCTGAGATCTTGGGGAGTATAAAAACAAGATTGGATTAGAATGACCTAGATGCATGTGTGAACTTGATGAGATGCACTCAAAGCAGTTATTAAAAGTCACAAGGTAAATTTGTCTAGTGATACATTCTTAGTTACGTAAAACAAAGTATGTAGCTGAGATGTTCCACACTAGCAGTTAGAACAAAGATTAACAGAAGCAGAGGCTGCTCATTTGGGTTCCTCTCCTGCTGCTAGGTCACTTTTCACTTGAAAAAATGGTAGCACCTGCTGTTTCAACTGTTTTGAGATTCAGCATGATATTATCTTTTGGGGAGTGAAGATAGTCTACAAATGACTTCATAAACTTGAATTCTTCCAGCAGGCAGAAAATCCTGAGTGCCTACCACAGTTTTTATATTCTGTTTGTGACTGAAATATATTAATAACTTTAGTATGAGACTGTCCCAGTCTGTTCTCTGCTTCTCAGTTTTACCAATAACAGTTGCAGTTGTCAGAGCAGCCTTTCATACACACATCCATTTTGTAAGGAAAGCAGATCTCAAGTTAAAATTGCACCACTTTTTGCAGTGATGCAATGTTATCTATCACCATCTATGTGCTCATGTGCCCACACAAAAATATGTGTAAGCAAGCAATTAAATTTCTATTGCAGGACAACTGAAGGGCAAAGCCTTAACCAAGGTTTGCATGTGAAATAATTGCATAACCGAAGCTTGCTCTTGAACTTCTTATAACAACATGTTTTTTACATCTCTTGCTTGATTTACCATGTCTGCTTAAAAATCAAAGCTAATACAGGATGCATTGTTGTGTACAAGTGGGTAGTGGAAACAATAGGTTATTTGCTCGCAGAGATGAAAGAAAACCTAACACTTGGTAACCTTTGGTGTAATGCTTCCCAGGAGATGACGCCTTACCAATGTGCTAGGGGTGTTTCAGTAGTGTTGTTTGTCCCTGCTCCCTCTTGTTTTGGAAATAGCTGTCTAGTTTCTGAAAGGACAGGGGTGGCTGAATCCAAAGAGATAGCACTAGCAAAGCCACATGTTCCAGCTGCTCTGGGAGGCAGTAGTCCATTTCTCTTGGGCTATTGAAAGGGAAAACCACCACAAATTTAGTTATAAACTTCTTCCAGAAAAAAAACAGCTGTGTGATCTGGGAATGGGGGCTCAGACTTTGAGCAGCACTGTCCAGACTAAAGACCAGTCCAATGTAAGCAAGAAAAACCTACTTCAGGTACCTGCTATATTTGTGTCCTGCTGGCTGCTTCATGGAGTTGGAATCTAACCTTTTTAATT